TGTGTTATGAACTTGGTTGTCTGCCGATTTTTACCGCCACTCACACAGACCGTCTCATACACGCTCATATATGCACGAGAGAAGGGGGAGAGGAGACAGAGTCCAAACTGCACACAGATCAGAGTAGACAGCGGAATTCAACCACGCAAAGATGGGGAGAAGACACGCAGTGTTTCTCACTCTCTGACAAACTCCCAACAACCAATCACAAGAAGAACCTGCGAGGATGGCAATTGAAATCACACTGATGATGAGCCACTCAACTAAAATATCGTCACAGAGTTTGTTCCAGTATCTCGCCACTCCCAGAACTCACACCCCACTCTCTATCCTACACCCAGTTAGTAGCGCCACATCAAAACAACCTCCTTGAGGCTAGCGCCAACCACCGTGATGAAGAACAAATCCTGCGATGAAGTTTTCACTGTCGATGGACAACTCAGACGAAGTACCAGGCAGCTATGGCTGCCACCACCCACGAACACACAGTGTAGAGCCTCGTTATAGCCCGGCCATACGCAGATACCCTCATGGGTAGATGCGTTGAGGATGCCCCAGCTATGGTAGACTCAGACTGGGCCGGCTATGGTTGTTGTCAACATTGAGGTCTCAGGATGCCGCTCGTAGACAATCACCGCCATCAACTTGTTTGGCTTCTCCCAACGCTGCTTCGTGAGAATGAACTGCCAAAAGTCCTGGACCAAAGGGCCTAACCTATTAATAGACTACAGCTACTCTAGCCTAGACCTAGACCGGACTGACTGACCGACCGGTGCCGTTTCTGTTTCGGTCTCCCGACCTCTACCGGACCCGGCTATAGGCTATAGGACCGTCTATCAGCATAGGCCCATAGGGCCTATCTGTCCTAGGGGTAGCCCGGACCTGCTATTCGCAGTTAGGGTAGTAATAGGAAATCCAGTTAGTGTTAGGACTGTATTTTTCCAAATTTGCAGATATGTCCCTCACGAATTTCCTTACAGGTAGGTCTCTCGGTTAGCCCTCAGCCAAATAAAATCACAAATCTAACCTACCGGGTTGGTGTACAACCTCGCAATCGGTCTCGGAAGTCAGAATCAGCAAGTCATTGCACTAGTCTCAGAGATGGAGCGCCTCACACTCCCTCCGTCCCACACAGTGAGAGTCGCAAAAAAAAAGCACAGGAACCCTGGTAAAACCCAACGCCACCTAAATACTGAACCCATGTCGCCACTTGCACCCCGCTGCGAAGGCCTGTATGCAAAATTCACAGACTAAGCTTGCGCCTGTCGATCAATAGGCGGTCACAGACCTGCATCCTGCTGCGAAGGCTCAGACCGGTAATGATACAGTTTGGCTATCACAGACTGAGCCTGCGCTTGTCGATCAATAGGCGGTATAGGGTCCGATGGTGTCTCCTGCCCGTGCGGGCCGAGTCCTGTCCTCTGCCTGACACGTCGACCTCCACCATCATCTCCATCCGCCGCTGGGCGCCGGGGCACGTAATCGGAGTCACCTGGATCGTCGGCGCCTGTGGTCTCACCAACCTCCGCGGTTGTGGAGTTGTCATCATGGTAGATCACCACATCGCCTCGTCTCTTCTCGACTCGCCCTGAACGACATTGGACTGTCCCCCCGTCCGCCACTGCCCCGCCAGTCGCCGGAATCTGTGTGGTCGGAGCTCTGGCGTGAAAAGTCGGTGGTGGACGGCGACGGTGATATGGAGTCGATGCACCTGTCCCCTTCTTCCTTGCCCGGGATAACCTCGCGGTCGCCGTCCTTGTGTCGTGGACATCCATTGTCTTGGCCCGCAAGGTCTCCCATGTCGCTCCTCGTATGCTCTCATGGAGTCGTGACAACCACCATCGACGCGGCCTATGGATTGCATCCCCACACGCACATCTGTCAGTCCGCATGCTGATGCATGTCCCTCATCGCCCGCCCTTCCGGTCCTGGTCATGCCGTCGTAGAACGACACCGTTGGCAATGCGGTGCTCGCCGCCACACCGTGGACGACAGGGTCTGCGCCATGGGGGTGCGGAGGAGCGTGACCCCTATGCTCACCTTCGACAACATGTGCGATGGCCCCCTCAGCGACAGGTTGTACGGTCGATGACCCTCTATGCTCGTAGTCCCTGCCAGTGCTGCGAGTAGGCACGCTACCATATGTGGTCAATGTCCGTGCCAGACTGCGTTGCGCTGCGACGCGCATGGTACCATCCGTGCGCATGTCCTCGTCCACGTCCGCGCCAACAACGTCGGGAGCCGTCTCCTGCGCCAAACGTGGCAGACCTGGGTGCGGGTCTGCCTGAGAGAGTGTCGGGAATGATGACCCATCGCGTGCAGAATCCTGTGCACAATGGCCCTCCTGCGCCGCATACTCTGCATCCACTCTCTCAAATGAATCTCCCAAACTGCGTTGCGCCACGACGCGAGGGCCTCCACGGCGGTTCTGTGCCACCTGCTCCGCCAAACCCTGGTCCACTGCGTGCGGTGCCCCAACATGAAAAACGGTGGGAGTGGCGGAGACTGCCGGAGGTGGTGGTGCCACAAATGCCAAAGTGGGAGAAATCAAAGTCGAGACGTCAGGCAGATCATACAACGCCGACTCCATGGCGAGCAACTCCGCAGTGAGCGAAAGACTGACAACGGGGCAGTCGAACAAGTGGAAGTACGTGCAACCTCTCCGTCCTCCAAACCAACGTCAGTCGTGGGAGGATGTGCTACCTCGCCTATGGAGGGGACCGCGATGCTGGGAGCCCCCTGGCGCCCGTGCAGACGACGGTGGAAGGAGGTGGCACATTCCCTTCACCGTCGGGAATTGTCTGCCCATCACTGGCTGTCCCTCCTCGAGCTTCCACATCAACCGCGACCGTGGGTTGTGTCAGATGGCGATGAGACTCCTGTGCGACCGCGGTATCAGCAATGGGCGCCTCAAGCTCAGGACAAGTCAACACTGCTCCACTCTCCTCCTGTGCTGAAATCACCGTTGCAGACGTGGTCGGGCCCTCGATGAAACCGGGTTGATGCTCCGCGCGCCTCACGTCGGAAGTCTGAGGAATGAAGTCCTTGTCCGATTTGTCGCTCATTGAGTCCTCAGATACGAGAACTTGCTCGTGCTGCGCAACACATGCGTCCGTGGCGGTCGCATCGTGAAGAGTCTCAAGACGACGCCTGCGCACACGAGAGGCGATGCTGCTATCCTGCCTGGCCCCGCGTCTCAACCGCTTCAAGAAGAGCCCACGACCACGCACAGGAAAGTCACCCTCACACTCCTCGACTCTGTCGTCACCTCCCTCGTCGCCGCCCCCTCCTCCGGCACCTCTGTCATCACCTCCTCCGCGACCTCTGTCGTCACCTCCCTCGTCGCCGCCACCTCCTCCGGCACCTCTGTCGTCACCTCCCTCGTCGTCGCCACCTCCTCCGCGACCTCTGTCGTCTCGCTCATCTCCGCCACGCCCACGCTCGTCACCGCCACCTCCGCCATCACCTCTCTCGTCACCACCAGCTCCGCCATCACCTTTGTCGTCGTCGTCGCCTCTCTCATAGTCCCTAGGCGCGGGCGTCCCCAATGTAAAGAAACTGTCGTCGTCGCTGGATGAGCTGTCAAACAAGAAGTCTCCCTCGTCCCAACGCTGGCGGGCCTTGCGGATGAAACCATCCGCCCGCTGTCGACGAGTCCCAGATGCAGCATGCCTGCCACCACGCCTCGTTCCTCCGACACTTGCTCGCCCACTCCCGCCACGTCCACCTGCTCTGCCCCTGCGTCGCCTTCTTTCCCTTCTCAATCTCAACCCCAATTAAACCCTTAAGTGTGAGCCCCTCAAGCCACGCAATCACCCAACATAGGTATATACTTGTATATATGTAAAGGGGGAATAAGTATGTGACGATCACTTCTCACAATCACAGTGGGACTCCTCACAGTCATATATATGTGTGTGATCGCAGGCGGTCTAATCCAAAATCCGAACCACAGAACATATCTGCAATCACATCAAAGATTCGACCAAAAGTCCACACACTACACGGAGTCAACTTCAACCAATCTCTATACTCATACCCCTCGTTTTAGCCATGCAAGCCCCAACCTTTGTCCAACCTTCCATAATTAAATACTCAGTACCTTTGTTAAATGGTCATTCAATAAAAGTTCGGGTAAAAACCTTAATAAAACAATAAAAATCACCAGGGCTGAAGCACTTTAGGTTGAGTATTGAGGATGAATTGGAGTTGAGTCGTAGACCGACGAATCGACAACCGACCTGTTATCAGTGATGCCAGAAGATGATCCTTATAGGATCAAGCTGAATCTAAGCCCAAACCCTGAATCAATCGATCAATAAGACCTGTAACATAAGACATGTCAATCCCCAAACTAAATTCATAAGTGTATGGAGAGTACAGCTCCATAATACATTCCCACTCAAGATCCTTTTACTAGCTAAGCCTAGGTCTACCTCTAAGTCAGTGCCCAACGAAAGGCAGGCCTATGGCATCATCTCCCTTATTCAGGGTGGATTGTCAGAATCACCACCTGTCAAAATATAATTTAACTCCTCTAAACTAAGAAAATTTTGCAAGCGCTTCCCGTAGGAAACCTGCCTTCTCATAATTTATATTAACTCAAGTATGAAAACATAACCAATCTCTAATTCTGGAAAGTCAAATTTTGTCTAACTCCCTGAATTGGTAAAAATTTGGGCAGCATCTCCTTTAGAAAGGTAGACTTCCCAGATTTATACTAAGTCAGATAGGAACTCAGAAGCGAAACTTAAGTTCGACTTAAGACAAAGTTCAACTAACCCCTTAGATTTGTAAAAATTTTGGCAGCGCTTCCCGTAGAGAAAGTGTTATTTCAAGATTTATACAAAGTTAAGTTCAAAATTTAGAAAAACAACTTTGACTTCCCAAAGTTTCATTTTGTCTAACTCCCTAAATTAGCAAAAATCTGGGCAACACTCCCTTTAGAAAATGAGGCTTCCCAGATTTTTACGAAGTCATATATAAAATTTAGACAAACTGAATTTTTTGACAGCCAAAATTCGACTAACTCCTTGGTTTTGTATAAATTTCAGCGGCGCTTCCCGTAGAGAAATTGACTTACCAAGATTTATACAAGACCAAGTATAACAAAAGATCCCAGAAAATGCAAAAATTGACCTAAGTAAAAAAAACTTAGCTCAGAAAATGCAGGAATTGAAACTAACTCATATGGCTCTAGCACGTGGCGAATAATTAAAGCAACTATCTGTCAATCTGAAACTCTGACTAAGTAATAGTCTCACTCAACCACATGTAGGTCAAAACACAAAGGCTAGTACTCTCACCATCCCAAAGTCAACCTTATCAAACAATAGTTTATGATCTTTCAATGATTTATCCTTTTATGCCCAACTTACATAAGGCATAAAGCTAGATCACCCAATCTTATGGGAACCTGTCTAGCTCAGCCATAAAATATACACAAACACAGGGCACTACAACTTTTCTCTTCTTTGGGCATATGACGAGGTTATCCAGCCTAGTCGCCCTGGACCATTTAAGTATCCAAGTTATATATAATTGTCTGCACTTTGTCTTTTAAGTCAACATATGATTGAACCGGTCATCTTAGATCAAGATTCAGCCTGTCCCTTCTAACCACAATTTTTATTTTTAATTCATGCTCTCTTTTGAGTTGGTGATAAGCTATAGTCAAACCATCCAATCTTATGGAAAAATGTCTGACTAGCCTGTTCATAAGTAAGTAATATAAGATATAAATAAATTTAACCTTTTGGTTCCAGCATATGCGTGGCTCCAGACCAGACCACCCAATCTTATGGGAACCTGTCTAGTCCTTTGTCTAAATTCCTCCCTTAAAATAAAACAAGAGAGAGTTAGGGTCATCCAATCTTATGGAACGTGTCCAACTCTCCTTCAAAACTAATAAAACATAAGAAAAACCCAAAGAAGCAAGGCAACCAAGCCATCTAATCTTATGGAAAAACATGTGGTCCCTGAAAGTCCACATGCAGCCCTCACAAATCAAAGCAACCAGACCACCCAGTCTTATGGGAACCTGTCTGGTCCTTCAGGCAATCGAAAATAAACATAGCACTGGGCCCTCCAATCTTATGGAGACTCTCCCAACCTTTGGTTGACCCAGTCAGACTCAAGCAATACTGCCTTCCTCCCATCCTTCCCCCAGATGCAATCCCACAATCTGCTTTGAGTCAGACAATAAAACTGAAACTGGCATTACACATGCGCTCCTTTACTTAAGTCTGAATTGTCCTGAAAGTAAAACAAAAAATAAAAGTAGGGATGCACACAGTATACTCAGTCAAACATAGCAGGAATTACATATAGAGGTTATAACTAGGTCTATAGAAGGAAAGCAAATGGTTACCTCTCTGTTCTCTGGCTCCAAAACTCCTCCTGAGTTTCGTCAGAGCTCCCACAATCGGTGGGCTGACTCCCCACAGAGTCTTGCTGTGGTCCTACGGGTTCCAATCCCGCCTGCCGCCTTCCTTTCGTAACCAAGACTAGACTTAGATTAAGAAGTGCAGAAGTAGGGATTTTAAACTCTCGAGATACAGGAATGGGACTGACTCAACTCTCAGGAGAGGGCCTTGTTACCTTCCATCGCCCGAGGGTCTCGCAATGATGGTCAGAGTGCGCAGCAACTTAGTCAAATTGAAGCCAACTGTCAGCGGCCAACTCTCTGGTGATTCTCCAATATGCAACAATATCCCCTTTTTTTTACAAGCTCAGCCTTTCCACGGTTGTTCCCTTGCCCGTTCGCTACTCCGCTCGGCAGGGTGACAACACCTCGACCAACAGGTAAGTAGGCAATTTGGTAACTCTGCTCCTTGCTATCCACGCAGCCAAACGAGCAGTACACCGGATAGCAAGTAACCTGCAGTTCCCAGCTGTTTGCTGCGTCGGGCTATATACCACAGTTATCGATAGGGTAGACCACTCACGGATCGACGGGTACATCTCCAAGCCAGCAACTGGCTTCACTCTTTTTCGGTGTGCAAAATTTGAAAGAACCTTCTGCTGACATCTGGCCAGGTACATACCCCACCCTCTCTTATACACATGGCCATATCCACCGCCCGGACTTCGCTGGTCTCCCCCTCCGCAACTCGTGACCCGAAGTATGCTGGTCACAGGTAAGTCCTCACCTTTATGGTCAGCCCGCTACTTGCACAGGCTGATGGGACGATGGTCATAACGGGCAACAACCCAATCTGTGGTTTCTGCCGCCTGTCCGTTGCAACTTCACTTTGACGAGTCGGCCCTTACATTGGCCAGTAGGCAAGTCCTTAGCCTTGCGCCTGTTCCCCCACTTCACCGTTCCAATGAAATAGCGGCGTACAGTCTGCAGGCAATTCCCCAGGCTCGCAGTTCGATTGCCTCGCCACTTTGCTCTATAAAATAGGTAGCGTACTTGTCAACAGGTAAGTCTCCAACCCCTTTTTGTTGGCTTCACACCACCTCCATCGATTAGGATGAGTAAGATCGAACGAACCTTTTGCTGCAGCACGGGCAGGTGCGTTTCTACTTGCCAGATTACCTTCCCCGTATCTGTTTCCTGCCATAGTCAGTGTAGCCCCTGGCCCCACCCACACTCCTCAGTAGCTCAGTTGATACTTGCGCCGAGCTTCTCGGATATGCAAGACGAGAACGAATCTCCCTCGAGAAGGAGACTAGGTACGTATCCATTTCGTTCCTTCTTCTGTTCAACTCTCTCTTTCTCTTTAAGCACCGTACTAATCTGCACGCTTATTCTCATTCGCCATTTACTTTCTATTCGACAATTTGACGTAACCCCCCGCTAGTATGCATACAAAAATAGGGATGAATCTTCCCTTACACCATGGAAAAATACATTGCAAAAAAAATGGGCTGCTCTCCCGGGCGCAGCTCCTATTCGTCATATCTGAAAACTCGCACGCTAGTAGCAAAAACTAACCTTATAAATCACTTCGCAGCTAGGCGACTCCCTATTTAGTATTCTACTCCACTCGATTTCAGTAAGAATCGAGCAAGCTATTAGTTCTTCTACTTCTTCCAAATCTCGATCTCCATATCTCCTCGCACATCCTTTTTAGTTTACCTCGTCTCTTACCAACTGTCCTCCAAAACTGACTTCGTAAAACATGTTTGTCGGCCCTCAAAACCCCTGACTAGCACTTTACCTTACCCACAACCGTTAAGAAACGAGTACGCTTCAAAAATCTTCTCCCTCCTCTTTCTTGCTTCTCGACTCTCCCGCGCACCATCTCCTTTACTAATCTCCCTCTACACTAATCTAGCACTAAAACTAGCCTTACCACTACACCCCCCCTATGCCAGAATGCCTAATTCAGCTCTTTCCCTGCCCATTTTTATCGAGTAATGAGCGAGTTCATCGTTTTCTGTTCCTCCCCACTCCCTCTTGATCCCGCCATAGCTCGACGCACTCTCCTTCCGATTTATCTCTTCGCCCTCTTTCCTAACCCCAACTCCAACTTCCCTATCAGATCCGCCCCACATTAAAGCCTCGGTTTTTACTTTTGTTTTGTCGAGATCTGTTAAGGAAGTGTGATACTACGAGTTCCTCACTTCTACTCTTCTTCTTGCTCTCGTCAACCTCGCGTGGCACTTTCTCTTACTAACATTACTCCCACTAACTCTCTGCCAAATCTGACCACAGATTCGAGTTCACCCACTTCCAAACCTCAGTCTGACACTCTTCCCTACCTGTTTTGATCAAGAAACGAGTGGGAAGTGACCTTTCTCCTCTTGTGCTTACCTCTCTTCCCGCCACCATCTCCGTTGTTTACTTCAGAACGCACCTGGCCCATTGCTTTGCCCGGATCCAGTCTCGCTGTGTGCGACTTTCTTCGCCTTCTTGTCCACCTGTCTTTACCCCCTCCCACGCTCTTCTCTGCTCTTGTTTCTGGGTTACGATGCGCTAATCTACACTCCACAAGAGGCGACAATCAGCTCTACCAGCAGAATGCCCCTTACTAAGATCAAAAGCTCACTAACAAGTGAGCCACTATTCCTCTATCAAAGCAGTCGGCCTCAGGAGAAGCGCCGACTTCACACGGCCTACATCCAGTTGTCATAATGCGTTTCAACACAGTAATGGGTGGGGGCACAAAGCTTGCCGCAAAAATTGTGAAAAGAGCCTAGGTGAGGCGGGTCCTAGATACAGGCCTCAGTGGTAGTAACGGCTTTCACAAACGAACTTGACGGCCACAGCACAGGGGGTTCCTTAGAAACAGTTGTCGGGACTCCGCCCTAGTGCTCTACTACGGCCTCCGCCTAGAGTCAATCCTATGGC